GGGGGGATACACAGAATCCTCACGGACAGAGTAGTAGCTAAAACAAAGGTTTCTCGAGGGGAAACTTCGCCCCACCACACATGTAAATAAGGTGTCTGGTGGAGCTCCCCAATTAAAACAAGCTTGGAAGCAGGAGTGGCATCCACATCCGTAATAGCCTGCCTCTGGAAAGCCTATGAACTTGGAGAAATGATGAAAGTTATGCAAGTGTTCAGGTCTTTCGGTCACAAGGTCGCTGTGAGTCGCCTAGGACTCGACGGCACTTAACAAGTCTTACCTCTCAGTCACTCTCACCCTTTAAACCATCTCTACAGCTCAACTCTCAGCCAAACGGCAGACAGACTTTACAGCAGCCGCTGGGGTACACACGTGTGCAGCACATGCCCGGGGCTACAGCTAAGAAGATGGGGAGGGATGGGAAAGAAGGAGAAATGGAAACTGGACACACAGGGAGGGAGTGGGGAGAGCGCTACTACAGTGTGGACATTGTAACCACTGTCATGAAATATAGTGAATGCTTGAACAGAAAACCAACATGCTCAGCCAACGCTCACCCAAAACACTGCAAAGTTTAAAGAACAAGCAAGTGTGCGTATCAGGTGGCCCGCCTCTGTCTGCTGGGTTGCTAAGGGTCAGAAATGCACCGATAACAGAACAGGGTTAAGTCTGGGCTTCTTCACAACCCACGGCGTCAGCTCCCTTTGTTCCAAGAGTGGAGAAGCGTGAGCTGAGAAAGATTTCCCGGCCTCTCCCATGCTGACAGACAGTAACCTCCTTCCGTCCGAGCCCCTTCCCTTCTGGCTATAAATCCACACCCGCGGCGCCTCTTCCAACCCTCGGCGCCTCTTCAAACCCGCTCCTCTCGGCAACAATAAATTTCCTCTTATTTTTCGGTCTCACTCTCCTGGTTCTGAATTTACACCTTTCTTTCAAGAACACCACAGCTCCTAAAAACATTCCATTATTTCTAGATCGAGGGTCTCAGGTTATTTCTTTGTAAAAATGGGGATTCATTGGCAATTCTCCGTATGAATACACTTTGCCCCTGCCCCATGGAATTAACAAACAAGAGTTAAGGATCCTTTCACGCGTGCATGACCTCAAGGGCCAAGTTCACTCTCAAAGGATTCCTGTCATTCACTCGTTCACGCATGTGTCTATTCATTCAACAGTGAATATTTACATAAAAAAGATTGTAGGAGAAACCTACATCAGTTTGTTCAGCTCAGAGAAGATCTAGGAATAAAACCAGCTTGAACTCACTGCCAACAAGCCACCGGACTGACTCACGGGACCTCCTGCAGGACTCCAAAGCTGTCAGTTTAAAAGGGGGGAAAACCAGCCTCACTTCCCTCCTATGGAGCAACTGGTGGATTTGAACTGCTGGTCTTCTGGCTCAACATATTAAACCACAAGGACTATTTGTGCCAGAAACACAATGTGTGTCACACCGATCAGTGTGCAACGGTTCACAAACTCAGCCGCTACATCAGAAGTTGGAGGTTCGGGTCCACACAGAGACGCCGTGGTAGAAAAGCCTTAGGAGTGGAAATACCAGCCTTTGACACCTGGTCATCCTCCGACACGCACAGGCCCCTGCACACGGTGGGCTCAAACCGTGCGGCTCTCTCTACTACACAACCGTCCTGGTCCATTTAAAACAAAGTGATGGTTAGTGACAGTGGACGTGCAATCAACAAGAACTCCCACCTTTCAAGGTTCACACCTATCTGTTCCTTGGCAGAGTCTGAATTCACACGTGCCCCTCATCCTGCTATTCCTCAGAAAGGCTATTTCTTGGAGAAGGACATCATGGTTACAGAGCTGGGGGACAGTAAAAAGAGGAAGACCATCGGCCAGGTGCCTACAGCAACGGGCCTGAGTGTGTCTGAGACTGTGAGGCTGGTACAAGGCAGGGCAGGGCTCAGGCCTGCTGTTCCGTGCCCCTACGGGTCACACCTGATTCGACAGCACCACCACCGGCTTTGTCTTATTATCGTGCAGTGACACACTTCAAGGAGCCCTCACGGCCCCAGGCTCAAGCCGCTAGCCCAGCAGTGACTCCTCGGGAACAACAGGCTCGGCATTCTGCTCCCACAAAGAGGACAGCTGAGGAATCACCGTGGCCTAGATCATGTGGCCCACGTGGTCACCAAGCGTCTTAGGCATCTGGGCAGCACGCAGGGAAGCGTGTCCTGGCCCAGCTCTCTAAAGCTCTTTGGCTCTGTGTTTGGTAACGTAAGCCTGGATCTGATTTTCACTTCTCTGGATGCTGCTTTACAAAGAGTCAGGCTGAGTACAGAAGCCAGTTACTTAGAAAACAAACCTATTCCATTTATTGCCGTGAAGTCTAGAGGGCCAGCTTCTCTCCCCCACACTTGCTACTGCCTTGGTTTCCACCGAATGCCTCGTTTGTGTGTGCTGTGCCTTCCACACGCAGGTGATGCCTGAGAGGGAGAACTGGACAGGAGGACCTGAGCACACGGCAGCCAAGGAGACCTCGTGGGGCGCGGAGCGTTAGGGGTAAGGCTGCTGACAGGCTGGGAGTGTGAACCCACCAGCCGCTCCTGTGGAGAAAGGAGGCCCTGCCCTCCTGTTAAAATTACAGCCTCTTCAAATCCACCAGATGCTCTGCTGGAGAAGGAAGGACAGTCTCCTCCAGTACCAGTTAGATCTGATTTGATGGTAAACACACACGAAAGAATAAAATAAATTAAAAAAAAAAACCAAACATTTACAACCTCATGGCATGAGTCCAGAACGAAGGCTGCACACTGGAGTGGACTTGGGGGGCAGGACTGAATAAAATGAAAGAATTTTTCTTTTACTTTTCAAAGAGAACAATGAACTGGAGGGGAGGGGTGGGCAGGGAGAAAAGTACAACAGTGAATGAATGGAAATCCAAAATCTCTGTAAATTTTCATGAAAATTAATAATAATAATAAAAAAGAAAACAATTTCCAGTCTCAGAAACCAGACAGAGAGGACCACCGTAAATTGGAATCAACAAAGGGGGTAATTTTTTTGTTTTTTTAATATCCCACGGTAGAGGCTGCCGAGTAGGTTAATACTGAACGTGATGAATTATGTATTTCAGAGTGTTTGGGTTCATTACACAGTCATTCTTATGTTAAGGCCATTATGTCAGGCTAATTGGCACTGCTGTTGCATAAATCCTAGGACAGAGTGTATTAAGAAAGACGTGATTATGTTAATATGTTAGGAACCAGGAGCCTGGGTTCTGCCCGCCCCAGGGCACCCATGTGTGTCAGGGCAGAACTGCACGCCACAGGGTGCCCAATGGTGCGTTTACAGGAGGGGTCACCAGGCCTCGATTCCGAGGGACCACGGGTGGCCTTGTGCAGCCAACCTCTCCATTCACAGGCAAGGGTATTAACTATTAGCTATTATTTTCCACACGACAGAATACACTGTCATTTTCTTTAACAAGTCTTCAAGAAAAAGAGCATTCGGCAAGTTGGTAAGTTTAACCTGTTGAGCGGGCCTGAGAGAGGGGTTGAAAGAATGAGGAAAGATCCAGTAGGAATCTGAGAATGGAGTGGAGTGGACCATGAGTGGACATGGGTGAATGGTGACTAGTTTTATAAAACAGTGTTATAGGAATGATACTATGAAACACAGTATGAACAGAGGAGTGCATGGAGCATAATATATAAAATAAAACAATGTGAATTTTGTATGCAAAGCAATGTAATATAAAATTAATTTTAAAAGAGTTATTCAGTATAGAGGAATCCCCTTAGAAACTAGAACAATCTTGGAAACTCTATGACCTCAGAGAGAGGACAACAGTTATAGAACAGAGTTACGGTCTTTTGTTTATAGGGCGACTACTCAATGACACTTAACAACCACATTTAACGCCCGGCCTCTGTCTCCTTTTGGAGCTGGGTGAAGCGGCTGGCCTGTAAGACAACGCTCTTGTTTTGGTTGAGGATCTGTGCAGGTTGGGTGGCTGCTTTTTATTTAAGCCTCTTGTTTAGAGTCAACGAGACCTCCTGGAGGGTAATTATACGTTGGCCCGAGGGATTATATTTTAACCCCTTGATATGATATTCTGGAGGAACATTCTTCCAAGCCGTACAGCACTTTTGACAATTAGCTGTGCTGAGGTCGATTGGGTTTGCTGTGACACTGAACCTTGTGCCACTGGGGTCTCAAATGTCACAATGACACAACTGGGCCATAGGGGTGCCAAACACCATAATGGCTACCCATCGTGGGCAGTGTTTGTTGGAGCTCCCAGAATGATTCCGGTTTGGAAGCAGGAGTGGCATCCACTTCCTAAACCACATGCCTCTGGAAACTCTATGAACTTGGGAGAAACGACGATAGTTATTGAAAAGTCTTCAGGCCTTTTGTTCACAGGGTCGCTATGAATCATGTTTGACTCAACGACAATAAAAACCAAGAATATATGAATTTCATACATAAACCAATATAAAAATAATCAATAAAAGAGTGTTCAGTATAGAGGAACCCACTTAGAGACAAGAGTCTCGGGATGTGAGCTGCACGTGAAGTGCCCGTGCCCCTCCCTCCGGACTGTCCTGACATGTCATCAGTGTCTCCTGGAGGGGTTTGCATGGGGAACTTCTGCTGTCGGTGTGGACGTCCAGGAAAGGATCTACGTGGCATCAGGCTGCAACAACTCACAGCTCACTTCCCACGGGTTTTCTGAAACTGTAAACTGCACAGGACGAGACTGCCTCCGTTCCCCTGTGGAGCCATCCGTGGATGTGAACCAACAGAATGGGGCTGCCTTGGGTGGGCAGCTCCCCACAGACTGTACCCCCAGGAAGGAAAAGCATGGCATCAAGCCAGCAAAGTGGAATCCTTCCCTAGGTGACCACCTGAAATGCCACTCCCAGACCTCACAGTTCCCGCTGCTACTCACAGCTCAGCCCTGTGAGGTGTCCAGTGGTCCCCGGTGACTCTCTTCCCACCCCACCCTTGTCCAGTGGGGCCCCGTCACCTACCACTGGTTTTGGGTTCCGCGTACGAGGGCCCATCCTCGAAGGTGAAGAGCTGGGAGACGCTCTGGCCCAGGTAGGAGGGAGGCGGATAGTAGGAGTGCATCCTGTACTGCGAGCTCATGGGGTGGCGGCTCTCCGCGTTCTTCACCTGCTCGGGAGACAGGAAGGGTACACTGAGAGCAGCACGCACGCAGGGGTCGCTGAACTGAGGTTGGTCGGGGTTGGGGTCACAGGCTTCCCCCTCAACACCCACACATCATGTCTCGTGACCCGTCCGTCTGCAGGCGAGACCTGCAACGACTAAAAGAAAATCCGTCTGAGTTGTGATGTTGGAGAACAGTGAACACACCACGGACTCCAACACCTGCAGGGGAGAAAGGCGCCACCGGGTGCCCCGCAGAGGTGAGCATGGAGCGACTGTCTCCACACTCCACACACTGCCAGGAGGGGCCGGTGCCTGGAGAAGGAGGCCAGCTTGGAGAAAGGGAGGGTGAGCTAGAGAGGAAGACCTTCAGTGAGACAGTGGCACGGTGACTGCAGCAACGGGCAGAAGCATGGCAGAGACTGTGAAGGCAGCAGGACCGGGAAGGCTCTGTCCTCCTGACATGAGTCCATGATGGTCAGAGTAACCAGCTGACTCCCTACAACCGCAAGACAACAGGGAGGGGTGAGGACACGTCACCCACCAGGGCACTCACTGGCACGTCTGAGCTCACACAGGTAATCACAGGTGTGACCCCTCCCAGACCCCCTGATGGGGAGACAGGACTCCCGGCAACAGTAAGACCACTGGAGGCAGAGGGGATGGACACATACATCACCCACCAGGGCACTCACTGGCACGTCTGAGCTCACACAGGTAACCACAGGGGCGACCCCTCCCGGACTCCGTGTTGGGGAGACAGGAGACTATCCACGATGATCACAGCAACTCAACTCGCTGTCTCCCTACGACAGCAAGACCACAGGAGGGGGGACACTTCACCCACTGAGGCACTCCTGACCTCACACAGGTAACCACAGGTGTGACCCCTCCTGGACACCCTGATGGGGAGATGGAGACCGTCAGGACACGACCTGTAGGCCAGGAACACACGAGTGAGTGTGGAGGGCTGCAGCCGGCACAGGTCCTGAGCAGTACTACTTAGCAGCCGTCCACCCCCCTCTTCTACCTGCCTTTGAACTTGTGCAGGAACCGGGGCCTCCACTCCCTTCCTCTCGTCCCCGGCACGCTGTGGGCCGTCTAGATCCCACCGAGGTTCACTCTCCACCTGTCTGTGACAGTGTGTCACTCTCTGATGGTTCGTGTGTGTCTGTGCTGCTGGAAGCCGGGTCCCTGGCACTGCAAACACTCGCAGGGTCCCTCCCGGGGGCAGGGGCCAGCAGGGCTTGCAGGAAGAAAGGCCTGGTGCTTACTCTTGTAAATCAGTGAACAAAAGCCCAAGGGTTCAAAGATACTGAGATTTTCATTTCCTTACTTTGGACAGTCACGCAACAGGACCCCTCCCTGGAGAAGGACGTCGGGTTTGCTAAGTGAAGAGTCCATGGAGGCGGGGAAAATCCTCCCTAGTTATCCTCACGATGTCGTGGACTGCAGGAAGAGCAGACGACCCTGCCTTGGACAGCTGTGGACTCGGGCCAAGGACTGTGAGGACAGGGCACGATCGGGAATTCGGTCCTGTTGTACATGGGGTCACTCTGAGCGGAAGCCACCTTCATGGCAACAAGGACAAGGTCAGGGACTTAGATGCTGGGCAGTGAGGACATCCCACCTGCAGCCTCCCTTGAGAAAATGCTGCCTACACCACAAGGCAGGCCCCTTCGGAGGGAGAGAGAACGAACAGGATGGAAATCTGAAAAGCAAGGACCCCAACGTATTACAAGCATCACTACTCGTAAGCAGAGCAGAGACGGGCCATCAGGAGGAAAGGAGAGAAATCTGTACACACAAGAGAACGAAAAGCCAATTTCTCTAAAAACTTCCATTCAAATCACAACAAAAAGACACCTAACACTATTAGTCATTCGGGAGAGGAGGGAGGAAGCACTTTATTGGCCCCTGACCTATAATGTCGTTGACTCCTAATAATCTTAGCACAGGAAGGAATGAATCAGATTCAACGCCATGGCTTGCCACAAAGCGGTGAAACCGAGAGGCCAGGATCCAAACCCCTTGACATCTCCACCTTACGGGGCAGAGAACTGCTCCAAAGGATTCAAGGCTGACTTTTTTAACGAGCAAACGGGCGTATTTGTCTCCTGCAGAGTTGCTGGTGTGTTTGAACTGCCAGTCCTGAGGTCAGCAGCCAGTGTTTTAACACTGCTCCACCAGAGACTCTCGCAAGGACAGAAGGCAGGACCCGGTGCACGTCTGTCTATGGAGCACTCAGCAGTCCTGTCTTCACAATCACGCGTGGTCCTATGTTTAAATGCAGTTATCTGAGCTCTGGTGGCCTGGTGGCAAGAAGCTGCACTGTAATCCCAGAGGTATGCAGTTCGAATCCACCAGATGCTCCGCCGGGGAAGGAGGGACAATCTCCTCGTGTACCAGTCAGATCTGATTTGATGGTACACACACACAAAATAATAAAATAAAAAAAATTTTAAATGTGGTTATCTGTTTATTATGAAGGCTTTCCCACTGTCCTGGGCTTTAAACAACTCACTGGTTCTTCTCTCTCAGATCAAATGCTGCTGCTCTTAGGTGCTTGTTCTCATAACAACCCCATATACAACACAACAAAAGCCTGTCCAAGCCCACACCATTCTCACAATCTCCACTCTGCTTCACCCACTGTCACAGCCTCTGTGTCAATCCACCCTGTAGACAGTCCTCCTCTGCTCACAGCCGATCTTACAAGCATGAGGTCCTCCTGAACATGCCCAACCTAAGTGTGACCGAGTCCTAGCACGCTTGCTGAGGAGGGCTGGGCAGCCCTGCTTCCAACAGATTTACTGCTCTTCCAGCACTCCGTAATCTAAGCCGCATTCGTCCTCAACACACACTCAAAGCGTCCTTTCTTCTTCAGTCTACCTTGTTCACTGGCACAAAGGAGAATCGTGCAAAAAAAAGTCCAAATATGGGAAGAAAAGATGACTGACGGGCTTTGATTTCTGAAGAGCACGTATCGAAGACTTCTCGGATCCTTCCCACCTTGATGGACAAACCTAATTAACCTCTGCCACGCTGTCCCACCTGACAGCTGCAGACGAAATCCGTGACCCGCGAACAATCTGTTACTATCACAGTCACATGCCCAGCAGTATCGGGAAAGGGGGCACGCGAGAAATACAGATTATTTGCACGTCACACACGAGCTGTCACAAACACTGCGATACTTTGAGCATCCATCAGCAGAGTGAAGGGATCTGACGGGGACCACACATCATGGGCCCCGGGGCCAGCTGCCACCTTGAGCGTGGCAGACCGCATGCACCTACACACCTGTCAGGTATCAACCAGGTGACGGTGACAGACACACCTGACTCCCAGAGGGGGACTGCTGGTCTGTTCCCAACAAAAGCGGCCCCGCAGGACAGCATGGACCTGCCTGCTGACGCGGTGGTGAGGAGGACGGCGGCCCAGGACAGGGCAGGCGTCCGGTCTGCCGTTCAGGGTCCTTACGGCTCATGGTCGACGTGATGATACCAGACAACAGGCACCGTTCGGGGACCACACGCCAGGGCTTCCCTTTATTGGAGGAGCTGATGGGATCAAATCACTGGCTTTTGTGGGCAGTCAAGTGCTTTGTCTCTGCACCACCAGGACGCCTCACAGTGGGTTAGTGGGGTGACGTGGCCTTTTCACTCAATTCTAAGTGATATGAATAATCAATACTGATCAACTGCATTGGATCAATTCTGACTCTTGGGGACCCAATGTGTCTGGGTGTGACTGCTCCACAGAGCTTCCCAAGCTGACTGTCCAAAAGTCGGTCACCAGGATTTGCTTTTTAAGTTGCCTCTGGGAGGATGTGAACCTCTCATCTTTCAGTGAGTATGCTATCTGCAGTCAGGGGACTTCTCCAAATGACTGAGAAGCAGCAATGTCTGTCTGAAGAGTAAGGTGCACCTCATCCAGGCCAGGATCTTTTCAAAATGAGCAAGAATGACAAGAACTGATGCCTTTGAGCTGTGGTGTTGGAGAAGAGCACTGAATACCCCACAGACTAATAAAAGAACAAACAGATACGTCTTGGAAAAGGTGCAGCCAGCGTGCTCTCCCTGGAGGCAAAAAATGATAAAGCTTCGTCTCACATACTCCGGGCATGCAGCTTGGAGAGGCTGTTCCTTGGAGGACACCATGGTGGAAAAGGTGGAGGGTCAAGTGAAAGAGGAAGCCCCTCAAACAGATGGAATCACACAGAGACTGCAGCAACGGGCTCACGTGTGGAAGAGACAATGAGGATGGCACAGGACAGGACACACTTCAGAGCTGCTGTGCATGTGGCCGCTATGAGTTGTACCCGACTCAACAGCACACCCCCAGGCTAGAGCCCAAGCATAGGGTGCCCGCTCTGGGGGAGGTCCTCTGTCAGTTCTGGGGGAAGGTCCTCGTTCCCTCCAGTGTTCCCTGGAGCCCTCCATATGTGCTGGTCTCTTGGCAAGTCCTGGCTGGAGGTCCCTAGGTTCTCCTTCCCTCTGTCATATAGCACTCCCCCTTCTCTCTCCAGCAAAACAAAGTCAAGGGCCTCCCCAGGAAACCACCCTTACATATGCACATGCCCACTCACCACCCTCCCCCACCACCACCCTTCACCTTCCTGCCACCCTTCACCCTCCCCCACCCCCACCTGCAACCTCCCCCCACCTTCACCCTCCCCCCTTGCACCCTTCATCCTCCTCCCACCTCTCACCCTCCCACAACTGTGCGGTTGATCAGATCTCGGGGATCACAGCACAACTGCCACATTCTATCACACACGTGTGTATTTATATGAGGACACAATTCAATCTGTGGCTTCAGCCAAAAGGATTCATTGTTTACAGCACCCAGGAGTCCTGACTCGAGCGGCAGGTCCTCAAAGCACGTCCAAGCGTGTTCGCGCGTGTGTGTGTGTGTGTGTGTTTGCATGCGTGCTCACATACACACAATGCCTCAGAATCTCGTGACACCACAGAACTTCCAGGCTTCGTATGAGGAAAACT